CAGTATCTGCACAGGGGTTCCTCTCACATTCCAATCCCCCTACTCACTGCAGGTTTCCCCTCTTAAATCTGTTCTCCCAGAGGCGCTACCACCATCGCTGATGGGCTCGGCCTGGGCCAGCCGCGGGTCCCACTTGGAGCCGGCGAAGCTTCCAGCAGCTTCTCACAGGAGCCACCCCTGCAGCCCCTTCCCCCACTACCAAAACCCCACCACACAAACCCAAAACAGTGATGCTGCAGAGATGTAGCCAGACTTGTCTGTAATTGCTGCTTTAGACCAGCTGGAACTAAGGGTAGGCAATTGCTTGACTTTACAAAGTGTTAACAAGCTGGTGAAATAAAAGTATGGAGCTCTTGCATTTCTCAAGAAGATGGCGACTACTGCTGCTCAATTTCTCATAAAGAACTGTTCCACTAGTTTGTGGCCAAGACTTACTAGAAAATGCTGTGTTGTAACAGAGTTGTGTTAGAGCAGATCTTTTTTTTTTCTGATCCTGCTCTCAGCTTGGCACCCTCTCACCCTGTTCTGCACCTTACTTTTGATGAATTTTAGCAGGTTGGCTGTCTGAGCAACACTGGATTAATTCCCACTTGCCTCCATTTCCGTGTGTTGCTGTTGCAGAGTTCTAGCAAAAGGAGATGAAATTATGTAACTCATCTTGTTGTCTTAAAATTGCTTTTGAAGAATCTTCTGGTAATCTGATAAGAGTAGATGATTCTGAATATCTACTGATAGTTGTTAGAGGCTCTTTAAGTGTGATAGCACTGTCACTGTGGAGGAAACAGTCTTTTGGTATGGACAGACTGCAGGACTGGTTTTACTTGTAGCTGAACCAGAAGAGCTCCTAGTTTTACATTCTCTGTTAGAGGCAGTCTTACACAACTGTTCGTTGTCTTCAGGGCATACAGCCTTTTCTGTTCATGTTGCTCTATTTTTGTGTATTGTTAAACTTCCTCCAAGCAACCTATAATGCTGTGATTTTTTTTTTTTTCAAGCTAGAGAATGGGATTTGTTTATAAAGTTGGCTGCATTGCTCTAACAGTGTATTGTCACTGTTTTGTTACATACAGTATAAGAGATGCTGAAAGGTCTTTTTATTTTCCAATAGGCTGGTGTTTGGGATGCTGTATCCTGCATACTACTCATACAAAGCTGTGAAGACAAAAAATGTGAAGGAATATGTAAGTTGCATTCCTTTTAATTGCTTAATTAAATGCCTCTGCTGACATAGAACTGTGAAATTTTCATTATGCAGTGCAATAAATCATATGAAAGCTTGATTCGACTATCTTGGTATTAGATACAATACCTGTGTGAATCTAGTGGTAATCCTGTGATTCTGTCTGGAGGGCTGAAATTAAGGTTTCTGAGACTGTTCATAGACTTTGCTGAAACGTGTCCAACACACTATGCTGTATACAGATATTTTTAGGAGGATTTTTAAACATAAACCTTAAAGTGTTGGCTTCATTTCAGCAAATTGCCCAAAATAATGCACTTTGGGCAGGGGGTAGAAAAAAGGTTTCCTAATTCTGCCAACACCTGTAGCATAAGCAATGACAAATTGATTCTCAGTGACAACATGAACAGTAGCAGCAGTTTAATTATTGTATGGAGCTCAACAGGGGATTTAAAATCTACCTGAGAAAAGGGTAGCTCTGGTTAATCTATCATTCCTCAAAGAGGCGGAAAAAAATGTAACCAGGGAAGGAAAAGATTTGGTGATGTGGAGGAAAGAAGCAGAACAGACAGGAGAGTAAGACAGAAAAAACCACAGTTATTGTAGTTACTGCAGTTTAGAATTAATCTGTGAAATTACTTACTTTTCAGTGTGAGCCATGACGATTTCAACAAAAATGTTACCCAGTTGCAGTCACAAGGAGCTTTGGTCACTGAGTTACTTCCTGGCTTTAAGAGGCAGCCTAACTTGATTTCAGCAGCTAACCTGTATTCTCTCCTGAACCTTGTTCTTAACTTGGCTGCCTGACTCAGGATGGAGTCAGTGCCAGCAGTTACTTTAACTTGGCAGCCATAGCTGTGACCTAATGCTGCTGTCTGGATGTGTGATGTCTCTGCGTTGTACTTGGTTGTAGTAGTAGAATGCAGTAGTGGTCGTTCCTCCCTTTGTATATCTTGCATTTAATCTGATTGCTCCATCAAGGCTCCGAAGCGGACATCGTATACTTCTGGTGTCTGTACACAAGCTGATTAGAGCTTATTTGTCCTGCTAGAGCTAAGCTCAAAAGGGATCCAGAGGCTAAGTAGAGGGTAGCAGTTTCAAACTCTAATACAAGAAATCACTTTAATTTAAGAAGCTACCATTGCCTCTTGCAATGTGTTTTCTAGGAAAAGTAATGTTTGTAGAATGCTGAGATTTTGACTCTTACCTCAGTTGTCCAGTTAGCTATGACTGAGCTGTCTTTCTTGGGCATCCTTTTTTAGAGATGCCTGCCATTTACACAAGACCTTTAGTGGGCCTGGAACTATATTCTTCCACCTGTGTATTTTCATTTAGTGTTAAAACACTGCTTTTCACAGGTACCTGTGGTCTCTGAGCAGTCCCTGAACTTGCAGTTGCATACAAAATGTTCATGGGGCTGAAATGAATGAGACCCATCACAGTGACTTTTTTATGGGCAAGGAATGACATTGACTTATCAGTGAATTGCCACTCCATTGCTGGTTGGGTTGAGCGTCCAGATAGATCTTAGGGATGATCCATTGTTTTCATCTTCCCAGCTGGGTCATTTTCTTTCACGGAGAGGGTGTAGGTTTAACTGCAGCCTTCCAAATGGCACACCTCTGCTGCCAGTCATGTTATGGCCCAAGCACAGTTTCCTTTCCAGGGTTATGTGTGGCTCAGGAACCATTTGTTTTTGTTTGCTGGATTGCAAGAGCTTTGTTACAGTGAAATTTTTTACTTAGCCACTGCTTCCACCAGTAAAAAAAAACTAAACAAAAAGTATGGATATCCTGACTTGCTGTGTAGGTCACAATGCATCGAATTGTTGAAAGATTATTTTGGTGGGGGGAAGTGTTGCTGCTGGTTTTGGTAATTTAAAAGACTTATAGGCTTTAGTTCTAGAAATTAGGATCTGTGCCTTTGAGGAGATTTATTTGTTCTTGTAATTACTCTGGTTTAATGGAGTTGACTAAGATCTTTGAGGAGTTTTTTCACTGTGTTACACCAAAGATGTTGCTTGTAATAAGCATCTGAAATGTAGTTTATAAGTCTGAATGATCAGTCTTCTCAAATCCTGGCTTCAGAATCCTGACTTGAAAAGATGTGCTTCAGCCAAAGCCAACAGAGATGAGCTTAACACTAGGATGGTAGAAAAAAAGCTCAACAAAACAAATCTGTAATCGCCCTTTTAACATAAAAAGCAAAACTCAATCAAAGCTTCTGTAACTTCATCTTTAAGAATTAAGTAGATGATATTCTTCTGGGCAGTGTCAATTATGACCTGTTTTTCCCTGGGGTGTGGCTATTTTTGTTTCTGGTATGAAAACCACTGTAATCACTCAGATTCATTTGTCAAGGATACTTTTGGTACCTAATGCATTAGTTGTGTTAGAATATGATTTGACTTGTGTTTTTGAGAATCTTTGCCCAGACCTCAGCAGGACTCCTGGCAGATTTCATGTGCCCTTCTGCAGAGCATTTCTTACTGTTCCTAGCAGCTCAAGAGAAACTCTACTTCTACTGTTGTTCTTAATTGGAAAAATAGATGTTGATTAAAGAATGAATAGCCTGGATGAAATACATTGGAAAAAAATTGTCTTGCATGGCATCTTAAAAATTGCATTGCATCATGCTTAGGTTGATGGGGCAAGGGTGGATGTTGATTTTATTTTTATTCAGGTGTTGACTCTGGTTCATGGAAGGGTCACCAGTCTAAATGTCACATGGCCTGTCAGAGATAACTTTAGCTGTTGTGTTTGTCTTAGTTTATTCAAGCCTGAAATAATCTAAATCCTCAGAGATTGAAGAATGTCATCACATGACTGAGTTTCTCTTCAAATTGAAATGCAGAAAGGCGTTTAAGGGTCTCAAGTTGTGACAAAGGGAGTGGTTTTATAGGCAGCAGTATAGCATTAGTTTTTGAGTACTTATTTAAGTCCACTTCAAAAAAAGATTGCTTTAAAAGTGAAGATTAAATCTGAGCTACATCCTCCATAGGAATGCATATATATTGCTCCTTTTGAAAGAGGGTATCATGAATTTAGGACTCGCGCTAGTGTCTAACAAATGTGGTGTTAATGCTTTGTGGGTATACCGGAAGAGTTAGTAGTCTGTATATCGCAAATGAAATGAGGTTACTGCATGTGGTTTTGGGTGATGCTTTTCTTCTCTTTTCTGTCTTTTTTTTTTTTAAGCTGTTTTGGTTTTTTTCTAGCATAGATAGCGTTGGAATTTAAAGAACGTGGGCATTGCGTTAGTATGAATGACCAGTGGTGATTTGCACTGACCTATTTTGGAAATATATTGCATTTGGCCACTGATATCTTAGAGAAGACAAATGCATGGAACTACTTCTATAATAGTTATTCTAAAAGATGTAATCAGTTTAGACAACCAAATTTGAACAAATGCTCAAGAAAAATGAGCAATTTAGTTAACCTGTATTTTAAGAGCATTGTCTGATTTCAAAACAATGATGTATAGTGTAAATCTTAAACAAAACAAAAAGTAGATAGACGTAAACCCCTGAAGCATTAAGATGCTTACATGTGAGCTCTCTTATTCACAAGAATTTTGTGGTTCTTGGCATATAAATAGAATTAAATTAGAACTTAACTGCAAAGTATAGCTGAATAACGTATGTTGTGAAATGAAAGCAAGGGCTACCTGACTTACTAATGCTGACTTTTGTGTGTGTGGTATAAACATATGGATGAGTGTGGAAGAGAATGAAATATTCTTTAGTGCTAGAGTGGGAATTGCACTTCATGCTTATGATAATCTGCTGACTCTTTGCAGTGTTTTTTTTCTTATCACTAAAGCTTTCTAGAGGCAGAATCAAATCTGTGAAGCCAGCCTAGGTGAGGTTGTGACTCTGGTGACCCAGCCATTTCACTTACCTTGTTGCAGCTGCCACCAGTTCTACTTATGAACAGAAAAAACCCTTAGAACCTTGATATAGTTTCACATGAAACCTAGTTGAGGCAGACTTGAGGTACTGTTGAGTGTATTGCTTTGACAGCTCTGAACTGACTGTACGGTGTACAGTGTATTCTGTGTAAAGGTGAAATCAAAATTCTTGCTGAAGATGGTGTTTTAATTTTCAGGTTCGCTGGATGATGTATTGGATTGTGTTTGCTCTTTATACAGTTACTGAAACAATAACTGACTTAACAGTCTCTTGGTAAGACCCTGCTTTTTATGATCTCTGAAGGAAACTGTATTTGTTTCTGATGTTCTTTGATTTGTAAAGATGTAATTCTTTATAAAGAAGTTGTGCTTGCTGATAGCCCTTTTCTTTCAGGAAAAGATCTCAGTGTATGTGAGGAATAACATCTGGTTTCAAGCTTGCTGTACACTGTCACTGGGAGTAGGGACTGTAAAACTTGAACTTTTGTGGTAGAAACTGAATAGGGGAATGGAACTCTTAAAGCGATGAACTATAATTTCTCTGCAGGAATGTATAATGCAAAGCAAGTATATTAACTGTTTCAATTTGTTAAATGACAGTACAGTCAATTAAAATAAATCCATAGGTCTAACTTGTTCAATTTTTGTCTAATACAACTTCTTGTAAGTGAAGAATCCTGTATGCTAATATGTAATTGTGTTATTTGAAGAGAGGTCTTAATGATGGTTAGTTACTGTGCATTTTCTTCCTGCAGTTGTTGATTTCATGCAACCTTTAACTTGTCTGTAGGTTTCCACTCTACTATGAACTGAAGATAGCTTTTGTTATTTGGCTCCTTTCCCCATATACTAGAGGGGCAAGTTTAATCTACAGAAAATTTCTCCACCCGCTTCTTTCTTCTAAAGAAAGGGTAAGAAATAATTTCTTATGTTTTTAATACCTAATAGGGAAATACCATGTGCTGAAATACTAACTGTTGCTAGATACATGATAAAAGCAGTTACTGGTTTACCAGTCAGCATGAACTTGGACTCCAGAGGCAAGTGCATATGACTGTCCATATATATGGTTCCGTTTAACTTATATGAGCAGACAATGCACTACTTTCTATTGCGATGAGATAGCTTGGTGTTCTCTGGTCTACTTAAGGAGTGCACTCTGTGGAGTCCAGTTGAGTGGAAGTCATGCAGTTTGACTTTCTACTGGAAGAACATGTGCAGTACTCTGTGCAGAAGCATGAATGCAGTTTCAGCAACAGCTCTTCATGTTACCATTTTTTCTAGCTTAACTTAGTAATAAAACTTCTCAGGACGAATGACATCAATGACTTTCCTGATGTGCAAACTGACAGGATAAGAGGAGAGACTTTCTGCTGAGGTTTAAGGGAAGACCAGTCTGCAACAGGAAACACCCAAACAGAAAATAGCTAAAGGATATTTAGCTTTAGCTAAAGTATGACAGGACCACAGATCTGCTTAGCTCTTTTTCAGTATCCTGTTTGGATGTGTGGAAAGAGTGATTAGCAAAGGTGTGAAGACTACCACTGAAAAAAAACTCACAGTACAGAAAATAGCATTCATAAAGGTCAGTGCTGGGCTTGGCCTTTATTAGGCAAAACAGGTAGCTGACATCATGTCCACTGACGTGAACAGTAAGGTCATCTTGACCTTCTGAAGGTTGAACTGTAAATCGTTTGCAACTTATATAAGCTAAAGGGCTTTTTCCCTGTAGTCTGTTAGCTGTTGTGAACTACCTTGAAGCCTTTATCTCCAACTCCAGGCATTTACCACAGCTGGGGATAAATGTCATGACTGTATTGTCCTTGGTGCTTGACTATGTCAAAGCTCTGGCTTTAGAAGTTCTTTGTGAGCTGACTCTACCTTTCTAAGGAGCTCTCGGATTTCATCTTAAGCATGTTATTTCTTGAGCAACTTTTGTCTGACAAGTTAAGCTTACTCTCTGTAAGGAACTTGCTATGTAGCTGCAATGTTTGAGCTGGACAAAAGTGATCTATTTTATCTTCTTGTTTGACCGGACATAATCCTTTTTTAAATGAGAGAGTGTAAGTGAATGGAACATCAGTATATGATGGCAAGAGAAATTGTCCCATTAAATATTTTCTTAAAGATTTCTTCCGTCTTCCTTTATTGGTGGAAAAATAATACTGTGGGGTAATGTGACTTTTATGCACAGCCCTCTAAAATTTAAGTATGTTTTGCTTTTAGGAGATTGACGAGTACATCGTACAAGCCAAAGAAAGAGGCTATGAGACCATGGTGAATTTTGGAAGGCAAGGGTTGAATTTGGCAGCAACTGCTGCAGTGACAGCAGCTGTAAAGGTAACTTTTTGCTTGCATTAATTGCTTTTGTCCTTGATATAGAACAGTGTAATTGTACTGAGCATTTGCCTTTCCTAAACAAAAAGATTAATTCTGCAAATGTATTGAAAACCTCAAATGCAATTTAAGGATTGCAGCCCTCTAGTCCTCCTCATACTATGTTTGTTTAAGATGACTTGTAGTTATTCCTTGGATGGGGGCCAGTTTACTGTAATTCAAAAGATACCATGCAGTTTTCTGTGCAGGCTTTTGGTAAAGATGACTGTTGTTTCTTTTCTGTCTCTGTTGTGCTTTCTGTTGGTAAACAAACTATTTAAAGGACTTCTGGCTTTTCTGGTGTTTTTCTTCAATCAACTTGAGGTAACTCCACATACGAAGTAAGGCATGAAAAATTACTACCACAGATAAAAGTTATCTTGACACAATTAACTTGATTGCAACTTCTCAGTTGAATTATTGAATTAATACACTAAGCATAAGCTTGCAGTTCGCTGTTTAGCATACTCTTGCTTTGTCATGAAATTTGCATTAAATCATGAAGTAACCTGTGATTGTTCCTGAATTATGTTCCTACAGAACTCATGACCTTCAGTTGAATTTCAGAGGGTTCTAGGTCTAGGAAAACAAAATACAAGCTTATAAGTAAGATTCTAAGCAACTTGTGGCCCACCAAAAGGAGTATAACTTTAGGGAATGTGTATCCTGCCTAATAGTCATTTAAACCAAAACACAAGAAAAAGTATGGAAAGAAAGATATGTATGTCCTAGTTAAATGATTGTTTTTAAGATGATCAGGATTAATTTTTTCCTGGGAATAAATGAAACTGCTATGTTCATAGTAACATGATTGAAAACATGAACACTGTTATTAGATAACAGAAAGCAATGTAGAGATCCCTGGCTGTCAAAGTTAAGTAGGTACAGCTAGCATTTAAACTTAAATTTCCATGCTTGTGTGTGAACTTCTTGCTTTATAAATCAAAGAGATTTCTAAAAACTACACTTTCAAATGATATCTCAAAAAGGTTTGGAAAAATAGTCATGCATATCTTGTTTATTTTCTCTCTTTTTAAAGATATATGTGGGTGATAGTGTAGAAAATATCACTTTCTGTTTTAAAATATGGATGTAATGAGCCTGAAATACTGAGAATGTGATTCAGTTTCTTATTCAAATTCTTAGTATTGCCTTGAGGCATGAAATAATTTAAAATGAAATAGAGTACACCTCTAAAGGAATGAAAGTATTCAGAGTGAAAACAGGTTATTTAAAAAACCCAAACAAACCCAACAAACAAAACCTCGAAGTACTCTACTGGGAAAAAGTTTAAGAACTATGCTAAATGCTAAAATGCAAATTCTTTGCCAAACAGCAAATGATGATTTATTACAAGTGCACCTGTAATGATGCTTATGCTGTGTGTGTTTTCCTTAAGCCTGGCTGTCTGGCTAAGGTTGGATATTTCCTTGTTAATCCTTATGGTGTTACAGAAATATTGTAAAATAAATAACACAAATATCTCCTCCCACTTCTGAAATAATGAATAACTTTTTCCTGAATGTCTGTGTTTTAGATTTCATTGCTATTCAGCTGTGACTGGCAAGATGCCTGCTCTATTTGTTAAAACTTGTTAAACATGCTCATGAATATTTGTACAGAATTAGTTCAGTGCAGATGAGATGCTTGGGCCAAACAACTACCACAATACCAAAGACCTAAAATAGACGTGATTTTTAAACAGTATGAAAGAGGAGACTCTCTGAAAATCTTTATTTTGGCATGTTAAACCTCTCTTCAGTTTGTCATTCCAAAAAGCTGAGCGTGACTGCTCCATGCAAGCAAATGGAGACAATGCATGTGTTCTTGATTTTGTTCCCTGTTTTTCAAGAGTTGACTGCTGCCTCCAGCAGGTGAAAAGATTAGCCCTTCATCATGAGCTGGTGGAGCATGCTATAGGATTTCAGGAATGGAATCCTATTAGTGGGATCAGTTTTGATGGGAAGGAGACACCCTTTCATCACTTCTTTTTTTTTTTTTTTTTAAGGAGCAGGCATGCTTATTCTGACATATTGGATCTCAAATTAGGAGTTGAGAATGTGGGAGGTTAAACACAAGAGGAGGTCCAAAGAAAGCTTCTGTTCACTAAAGTGTCCAAGCAGAAGCCACTATGCTGTCTGCTTATGCTGACTTTTAGGAGGGTGGTAAAATTGGTTGGAAACTCTGGAATATTTTCAAGATCAACGGTGGGAAAGAGCGTTTTTCTCCAAAAGCTGTCAAAGGAATAGGGGATTAGTATTAAAAGGCTAGTTGGCTGTGTAGGGAAGGCTGGAGCAGCCAGCCAGGTCAGTCTACTGAAATCTGGCATAGCTACAGTGGAGCGGGTTTAAATCTAAGTTGAAATGTAATTGGCAGGAGTCATGGCTTATAGCTTACATTTCTATACTGGTATTTTTAGCTGGTACTAGTTAGCCACTGTTCATATAAAATTTAGTGTTTCAAAACCTGCTAAATAGCATACATTAGCAAAATAAATTGTGTTACTTAAATTGACATGGCAGAAAATAAATCTTTGTAAAATCCTGATTTCAGGAAACTTAGAGATGTAAAAGTCAGCCTAGATCGTATTTCAGTTTACTAAAGAAATTTTCTTTGGGGTGTAAAAGAATTGGCAACAAGATGGCTTTAATGATAGGAAGATTGTTGGAGCTCTTTCAGCTCAATAGTGTATGGATTTGTGGAAAACACTAAGTTCCACTGATATATCTTGTATTTTGATGCATCATCTTTCCAGGTCCTCTGAGATGCTGGTTACCTGTAAGTTCCAATTTTTGCCATCACATAAATTCTGACTTCTCAAGCTACTAGTGAAAACTTGTTTCTATATCACCATGTGTGCAACGGCTGCAGAGTAAGCTGTGAAATGCACTGTACTTCTTTATGAGGTCACAGAAATATTGTTCATTTGTAAGGTATTATATGGTGCTGATAATAATACTACTGATAATAATAATATTTTGAGGGCTGTGTTTCTGCGTGTCTTTTGGTCATCCTGAATCTGCTGCCTCTTTGCTGGTTGAATATTATTCTAACGGCCTTGCTCAGATTCCCCTTCTTCCCACTCAGGGCGTGCAAGAGGAAGGAGGTATCTTGCAGCCAGCTGTGGCATACAGCCAGTATCACTATAAGCTGCTCAGCTCAACAGCAATATTGCTTTCATCCCTCCTCCCTGCCGGGACTGCCTGGCATGCTGCAGGGGTCGTTCATGGGACAGCGGTCCCTCTCCAGGTTGAGAGGGAACAGAAGTCATTCCCTGTCAGCCCAGATCGGATCAGGGAGAGAACAGCTGGGAATGTGGGTGCTGCATGCTGCAGCTCTGCAGCCACAAAGCTCCAAGCAGCTCTGTGGACGCAGAGTCCATTGAGAAGTTGTCCAATGAAGGCAAGCAGCTTTATTCAGTGATCCTGAGGGGGTGCAAGTCCAATTTAAACAACAACAACAAAAAATTCCTGAGGCAGACATACTGTGTGGTATCTGTTTCCAGCAACTTCCCTGGGTTAAGTATATAGACTGTAAAAATATGTGCTCAATAACATTTCATATATGAGGGTCAGCTGATGAGACAGCATACTAATAGCTTACCAGAGTCTGAGTTGTCTCAAAAGGAGGTCCCTTAAGTAGGCTGTATTTATCAAAAACTGCATTTAGAAACCTATTACAACTTTAGTGTTTCAGATTGGTCACTGGTAATGAATGGGGTCTCTGAAAAGTTTCATGTGTTTTAGGAACTACTATTGAATAAATAAGCAAACTCATTCTTTAAGACTTGCATTTTCTTTAAGACAACACAAACTTCACAGTTCGTCTCTCATCAACATTTGCTGACATAGAAATTTGAGCACTGAAGTTGTTCTGTGCTTTTTTTGCCTGCATTGTAATTGTAAATGTGTGTGTCAATCTTTTGTGGTGTAATTTAGTTGGCAGCCTCTGGGCTGGATGCAGTGTGCTGTATTTCTTCCTTACTGGTAGGATCTGTTGAAATAATGGGACACCAGTGCAGGTGCGGCAACTGCTCTGCCATCTTCTCGTGAGCAGCATCTTGGGGCTGTGCGTATGGCTGGGGAGAGGTGATGACTGTTGCCATACCTATGGCATGAGTGTGCAAGTAGGAGATCCCCCGTCAGCTCCACCTGCAATTGGATTGCTCTGCCTTCTGTTTTGTGGGCAAACATCTTGCTTTCAAGCTGTGGCTAGTAACTGTCTGAACTTTCAAACAAGATATCAAAGCTGTTAATGCATTAATAGTCTAAATGTGAATGTTACTCTCATTTCCTGCAGTAGAGAGTATTTTTCAGCCAGACTTTTACTCTGAGCTGATAGTAATTCAGATCCTCACAGAATGCTTTATTTTGGCAGAAAGCAATTACCTGCTTCTTTCAGGCATGGGGGGGTAGAAGAATCTTCCTAAATATTAAGCGCTGTATAAGCACAAGGATGTGGGTTTTTTCAAATATAATTAAAAAACCCATACCCACACAAAACACCTTGAAATTTGTCCTCCAATTAGTCTATGCAGTGGTATGAAGTGAAAATCAATCTTGATTTTGGAAGGACTGGATCTTCCTAGGGGTGGGTTGAAGGCTGCATTCAGGCAGGAGACTAGGGGGACTGTAGGGAGTACCTGCATAGGGTTAATAGGATGTGTGACCATGACTGTGCAGTACAGCAGTGGTTATGCAGCCCTTGTTCCTACTATGACTTGCAGGCATATGTGCTGCATCTCTTATTTGTATATGTATCCTTTCAAACTTCTTAGTATTTGCTGTTTGTAACTTGAGTAAAACTTTCCATCTTGGCAAGTAGTTTCGGAATGAAGGGCCTGTTCTATGAATCTGTTATGTCCTCCCTGAATGACGCAGTGCTCCACAGGAGCTCTAGCCTCATCAAGTGTGCTGTTTGGTTAAGGGCACAATGTTATTTTATGTCATATAGTTGACTTTTTTCCCCTTTTGAAAAACAAAATTCAGTATCCAAAAGCTGCAGTGAAAAATAAGGTTGAACATTCCCAGCTTGGATCTCGTTCTCTGTATCTACAGTGGAATGGGAAATACAGGCTTGTAACGTGAATTCTTCTTAGCATGTTAGTTTTTATAATCTTAATTACATTATCTTGTACAATTTTCAAATGTCTTTCTGTAGTATATCACATGATGAATGAATTTGCTGTGCAACTGTTAAGCAAGCGTGTCTCTCTATACTTTTGCTTATGGCCAAATCCAGCTTCTGTCACTGTTTTGTAGTTGATTCTGTCCACACTTGGTGCGTTGAGTTGTACTAAATTTATGTAGGTTCTACTGAGAACCAGCTGGGTCCATTTTATGCATTCATCAGTGTTCAGTGATTGAGACCTGAGTCCAGTTTCATCTCTTCAAGCAATGGACACAGACTGATCACCAGTCTTATGTGTTGTATCAGATACTGTAAGCTGTTACTTGTCAAAAGAAGCAGTCCTGTCTCTCCAGTTCTCTTCTTTTCTCTGGTGTCCTAGCAGCTGACTCTGAGTTCTCAGGCATAGCTCGTTCCTGATTTGGTTTACTGTGTGAATACTTTTCAATCCAAGAAGTGGAGTAGTGGAAAGGCAGGATTCCTGCCTTAAGGCAGGACAGACCTACCTTAAATCAGCCTTTTTAGGGAATATAATTAACTTCAGAATTTCTGCGGTAGTACTGTACAGACTGTACAGTGTCCGTAGTGCATTTTAACTCAAAGGCAAGCCGTAATTGTGTTCTTGACAACTGTCAGTCATCCTACTTCTACTTCTCCCATAAGAAACCCTTTCTTTGTTATTTAATGGCAATCTATGAATGGTGGTGTAAAAATTAAAATAGGTGGTTCTTGCCTGTGTAGCATGCTTAGTTTTGCATGCTGTACTAATGACTAGTCATTAGAAAATTAATATTAGGTTTCAGCCACTCTTCCCCCCCCCCCCCCCCCCCCCCCCCCCCCTTCCCCGGCAAACCTG